CCTCTGATCAAATAGAAGTGGATCCAAGCTCCTTAACCCGCCTAGCTTGTTCTACCTCCTTCCTTCTTGCTAAAACACACAAGAAATGGTGAATTAGCCTTCCTCTTGCACCACAAACGATCTTTCTGCTCTCTAGGGTTTCTCAGGGGTGAAGTGGCCGCAAATGGAGGCCATAAAGGCCTTTAAATAGGGCACAGACCCCGAGAATTAGGGTTTCAATCCACAGCGCGGACTCGTCGAGTCCACCCTTTCCGACTCGTCGAGTCCGTTCATTAATCCAGTCAGCACACGCGATCCTACTCGACGAGTCTACGCCTCAACTCGTCGAGTCCCTCCCTTTTACTCAAAAGAATAAATGATCAAACTTAATAGCTGGAAATCCGGATGTTACATAAATTGTGATGACACTTACTTTCCCAACTTTCCCCATAGCCTTGGGTATTCGGTTCATGCATCTCATGTTCTCCACTTGCACAAGTTATACACACCTACCACTTTTATCAACAAAAGCACCAATGAAAAATTACTGCTACAGGTAAAAAACACTTCAAAGAAACACGATCGAACCCTTCTCCGTGCTGTCTTGAAGTGAGCTCAATAACTTAAAGTCCTATTTTCTCATTATAAATAAATACGACTCAGTATTAAATTCATATTCTTGTTTTGTTTTGTGTGTATAAACTATAAAGGCATGATTATGGAAGATGGCAAGCGATTGTTGATGACAAGGATTTGAGGGTGCAAGAAGTGATTTGTCAAGAGTTGAATCTCCCTGGTATAAATATGAGTCTCCCAGGGGCAGGGGCAGGGGCACCTCAAGGTCAATTTGTCCCACCTGGAAGTGTTGAAGCTCAAACACCAGCAACTGCAATAGCAGCTTCTGGAGTTTCTCAACCACAAGCACAAGTTCAAGATTCCACTACTTCTGCAAATAATGCTTTGTATCACTTCAGAGAGATACAGAGAAGACTGGTTGAGTTTGTTAAGAAACGTGTCCTCCTGGAAAAAGGACATAATGCTGAATACCATAAAGAATACTTTGTAAGTCATTATATATGTTTCTTTTTCTTATTCTTTCTGCTGTTTTTGCTCATTTGTAAGGTATCTCATTAAACTGTCTCATAATAACAGAACTAGGTGGGATCATCTCCTTGATAGAAGCACCAGATGGGACCGTATGCGTCGAGTGAGTCAACATAATTCATCACAAAACAAAAATTTCTATTCAATTCAGAGAAAATGATCAAAGTTGTTATAAGCAATAATGGAAAAGTGAAGAAACTATAGGTGTTACAAGAAAAACTAAGATATCAGGGAATAATAAAAAAGAAGAACATGATGATGATGAAGGAAAATACCTCGACAAAAACAAACATTTCGTCAACAAATATTAGACCTGAGAGCCCAATTGTCAATTAAACTGACTTTTTCTTTCCAGTTTTCAGTGATTAAGTTATTACACCTTAAACTTATGAATTTGCACATTCTTGCACATTCTTATCACTAGGGAAGCATGGGAGTACATGTATATTTTTTCTTGATCAAAACCAAAAAATCAAAACACAATATAATCATAAGCTAAAGCGGTTGAGAACTTGATTGGTGAATAAAATACATGAAAGTCGACCAAAGAGATGAAACAGCAACGAATGATATAGTAAAATACTTATAAAAACAAGCTAATAAGCGAAAAGCGTTTAAAATAACTTAGTGGAAAATGGCAAAGCATGAGAAAATTCTTAACAAAAATTACCAAAACAACATCCTAAATTGCAACTCAGATGTGAACTCAATTTCTCGTTATATCATATTCCCATACTATATACTGACCAAACATACTACTATTTTCCTATATAATTCCAGCTGTCTAATAAATGTGGGTCCCACTAAATAGCTTCTTACAGTTTTTATGAACCCATGGGTCATGGGTTGGGGTTGGACCAGCACACCGCTGCTGCCAACTATATCTGGAAACATTGAATAAGAGTCTTTAGGGCTCGCTGTTTCTTTTTTACATATTTCCACTTCTTTTTTCTCATAATTCATAAATGATTGAATATAATGAAATTTGTCTTTTTTAAATATAATGGTAAAATTGGTCACTTAGTATCATTCATATGTCTAGAAAAGAAACAGACTCTTACGTATACAACACTTTATCCATACATGCATCATTACTCATTCAACTACTTTACCAAATCCTAAACGGATACATGAGTTAATGAGAAAAAGAAAAAACAAGAAGAATCTTACTCTCAACACCTCCCTTAACAGATATATCACAGGTGATAACCCCACTGGTTTCATGTTTCACATGCTCTACACTTATCATATAAAATGTTGGGTTTTACCTCTTACAATCACATTAATAGCTTCAGAAAATAACCCAAAAAAAGACTTAAGAATCACCTGTTGTCATAGGACTTGATTCTTCAGATGACTTCTCATAGGTTTCCATGTCCATTTCATAACATCACTCACATCAGCCTCCACTTCTGTCATAACTTCATCCCGATCTACTGCAGTCACAGGTAGGACTCCATTTTCCATCACTGCATCAGATTCCACTTGTGGATTTTGATTCCCATGCAGGAGTGCAGAGAAAGAACTTACACTTTTCCCAAGAGACCAATTATCCTTCCTGTCATACAATAGAAAGTAAAGTAAATAAAAATAAGGCACAATGACACCAAAAATTAAAATAAGAGTGAAGCGTGTCATACCTTAGTGTTGAAAGTTGAAATGTTATTGGCTTTAATGTTATAATCTGGTAGTGTTGAAGTCCAGGAGAGTCATCAAGGCAAGCATTTATACCATGAATTTTTAAAGATGCATCAACCCTTATTTTCCCTTGACACTGGTAGCTTCCATTATTGGAATTAGCCAGGTTAACTACTTGAAGCTCCATCATATGGATGCACTCTATTGTTAAATCATTTAAAAGATTCAGTGACAAATAGATTCACTAATACTTGAAGAACTAAATCAACTCATATGTATTACAGACTCATTATCATATATAAACAAAAGGTAGAACATAAAACATTCAAAAGATTCAGTGACAAATAGATTCACTAACACTTGAAGAACTAAATCAATTCATATGTATTACAGACTCGTTATCATATTTAAATAAAAGGCAGAACATAAAACATTTAAAAGATTCAGTGACAAATAGATTCACTAACACTTGAAGCTCCACCATATGCATGCACTCTGTTATTAAGGGTATTTAAGGAAAATTACCGCTTCCGTTAGTCCGCTAGTTTGAGTTTGAATAATAAGAAGCAACTCAACCCAACCCAACCCAACCCAAGTGCCTATAAAGCCCAAGCCACATCGAAAATAAAACTCCCACACTCACCTTACCTCAATATAGTCAATACACAAATACATGTGTTCCTGTTTAGCCCTTAGATATCAAAACATAGAATACCACCACTCAGAAGAGGAAGAAGTTGTTATTATTACTGTTATTGTGAATACAAAAACTAAAGAGTGGAAGAGTCTCCTTCCTGTTCGTGACTAAGCTTTTATATGGCACATAGATGAATGTAAGTTGTAAGTATGGTGTCTATAAAGTATATATACAGAATTCGTGAAACCTATACTAATAATAATAATAATCTAGCAAAAAGAATAATAAGAAGGATTAGTAGATGAAAAATGAGTGAGTAGGTTGTATGTTACTTTACTCCAAAAGACCATTAAGTAGTGGATGCCCGACATTTGGATTCCTTGTTCTCACTCTATTGCCTCCTCGTTGTCGACTCCTGCATCAACAAAACAAAATCATTCAGTCAAGTCAAGTCAAGTCAAGTGTTGTCTGGATAAATTCAGATGAAAAGCACACTTGAGGAAATGGCGTTTGTATTAAGTCTATCTATGTCCGACCATTCCCTCCCACCTCCAAACTGTAACTATAATTCCGGGCATCATTTTCATCTCCCATGAACCTCACAAACGCCATATAACCGAAGCCATACTCAGCTGAAATGCTTCAAAATGGAGACAAAAATACTGCCCAAAACAATTGAAAATCTACATAACATCAAAAAAAGACAATCATCAGCACAACCATAACTCCAACAACCGAACACTCTGATCCCGCATAAGGGCAACTACATGGCCTGAAATTGCATACAGCTTCATGTTTTAGCTTACTGTAGTAAGGGAAGATTCCATGGCAACCGAGTGAGCAGTATTTGCATGGAAATTCGAGGGATTCTGCAACTTTTTCCAATGCTAGACATCTTATATCACCGAGTTCTTGTCTCCAAGTCGGACACTTGTTGTTCACAAGTGTTTTACAAGTGGAACAAAGCGTGTGACCATTGTAATACTGCACAAATTTAGATAAATCTTGAAATTGAATAAAGTTGTCTGACAAACTTTTGAAGTAAATCATTCTAATTTCCAACTTCAAGATTTCCATGAATTCTAAACTTTTTAAGGAAATTTCGGTAATGAGATAATGTTTGATAACAAATAGGGTAAAGGGTAACAACTTGTATGTACAAGAAAGGCTTAAAAAATTGATATGTTTGACCATGAAAAGTCAACATCATCTTTTTGTTAAACGAAGTAAAAAACGATGTATCACAATCAGAAAACCCCCAAATTCACATCAATTTTGAAACGATTATAATATGAATTTTAACATTTAAGAGCATAATCAAATAATAAAAATGAAGAAAACCTGGGGATTTTGATGGCTGTTTTGACGATGTTGATGTTGATGTTGATGACGATGATGATGGTATGGGACTCATTTAATTCATCCGATGTTGAAACGCATTCAATGTGATCGAAATCCATTATCCCAAAATCAAAAGAAAAAGGAAGATAAAATACCCATAAAAAAGATCAAATTAGATGGAAGAGCATGTGGGTTTTGTTTGGAAATTCTTGTTCCTACCCTGCTTTTGGGTTAAGGATGAAGAACAGACACCGGAGAAGAGGGAAGGGAACGGAAGTGTGAGAGAGAAACAGGAGTAGCTTTATTGATCATTGAAAAGGGTGACATTTATTTTTGATAGCTCCCCGGCGGCGCACAACTCCATGATTAGGTTAACAGAGTGTCGATCCTCGTAGGCGCCATGGAGCTCGACAATGTTACGGTGTCCGGTGAGGTGATGCATGATCTGGACTTCTCGACGGACATCGTCGATGTCATCCTTGTTAATCAGCTTCTGCATCGCGATTGACTTGTAAGCAAACTGTTGGTGCGTTGTTTTATGAGTGACAAGATACGTCACACCAAATTGACCGCGACCTAGCTCTTTACCGATTGTATAGGTTGCGCTAACATCTTCCATTGGTCGCCCGAGGACACGGCCGACGGTAGCCGGCAGTTGTTGGCGAGGAGTGGTGATGATATTAGGGTTTTTTTGGTATTGATCAGTGAGAGAAGAGGATAAAACGGCCGCCTTTCAAACTTTTGGGATTTTCATTTCCCCCGTTGCTGCGAAAGAAGAAAAAGCGTGTTTCAATAAATAAAATATAAAGCGACGTCCCTACACGACACTCATTTTAACATAGGTGCCCTCCGTGTTTTTAATTTTTTTTATTGGACACTAATTTTAGGGCACGCAAAAAATGCGTGTCCTCTATCCTTCATTTTTTTTTAAAATGGACGTTATTTTTAGGACACACAGAAAATGCGTATCGTAAATCACTGCGTGTCATTGTTTGCGTGTCATTAAAGGGCAGTTTTCTAGTAGTAATAATAGCAACATATTATATGAAACTTGTAAAATTTACAACTGTAAGATTACATATTGCTATTATAGGTATATAAAATGTAAACATAATGATATTATGGTTAATAAAGTAAGAAACAACATGTATTTTATAGGTATTAGGTCAAATATTTCTATTATTGATAAAAAAATATATAATTACATTGCTACTATTTGTAAAAGATAAAGAACAATGTCTATATTGGTAACAAGAGTAAAGTACATTGCTATATCTTGCAAATTGCCCTTAAAAGGATGATGTATCTAGTGTCTACTTGTTTCTTCTTGCATTTGTTTTGTGTTGAAACTAATCAAAAGCATTCCATATTATTGAAGACTCAAGACAACATCAAAGATTTAGGATACTGGCTATCACCAACTTCAACTCTTTTGTTCCTACTACAAAGTACAATCAAAGCAAGTGGTTCACCTTATAAGTCTCTACATCGTAATCGCGGTTCACCTACCACATTGTTTGGTAGAATGACACAAGTAAGCTCTTTTTAACAATGTACTTTCATAATTTGCTTATTATAGCATCTTACTTTCATTTCTTCCTATTATAGTATTTTACTTTTAAAAAAGTGAAAGTACAATGTTATACTTTGGTAGATTTTTCAAAGTATGATAATGCCTAAATAAGAAAAGAACTGAAAGTGCAATGTTGTAATAGAAAGAAATGAAAATAGGATTCCCATGTAAAATCACAATTACATGTGATTACATGTAAATCACAAGTGAATTACATATGAGTTAAATGCGATTCATATGTAATTTACATATTAATCACATGTACTTCACAAGTAAATCACAAGTGATTCACATATAAATTACATGTGATTCACATGTAAATCACATTTAATTCACATGTAAATCACAAGTGAATCACATATGAGTTACATGTGATTCATATGTAATTTACATATGAATCACATGTAATTCACAAGTAAATCACAAGTGATTCACATATGAATTACATGTGATTCACATGTAAATCACATGTAAATCAAAAGTGAATTACATATGAATTATAATCTATTGATCTTACAGAAAAGTTTATTTAACCTTGAAGGTTTCTATTTTGTGGTGCTTGGAATCATTTTGTTAGGAGCTGGTTTCGGATATTGGCTGGTGAGGAAATATATTATTTCTGAAGATGGAGAAGTTGATGTTGGAGTTGCAATCACATGTATTATCCTGGTAGGTTACTATATTCATTAATTAAACTCATATTTCCAAAAGTGGTTCACGATTTAATGAATTCTATGTTTTACTTGCTTATATCTGAGGCTTGTGTTATCTTTTTCAGAGCACGAAAGACACCCCTTTGGCAATGGCTACAGTGGGGTCTTATTTGGGTGTATACTACATGATCACGAAGATTGTAAGGAAAATGTCATGTAGGATCTATGCAACCCTCAAAGAGCTCAGCCTTGGTATGATGGAGAAGGAAAGGAATGTATCATTCCATTGGAATGGACGATTCCTGAATGAATGTAATTCCTTCCATTTTCTGGAATTTATGAAGAGGAACAATTTTGTTAGCCCTAAAGTTGCTTATGAAACAACAACTGCTTTGCAGGTATAGTTGGATGAATTTTACTAAATTCAACAATATATATGAGAAACTAATATCTTTCTCTTTGATAAAACTATTACAAAAAAAAGTTTGCTAATTTCTTGTATTTCTTCTTGCATTTGCAGATTTGCTCTTGATATTGACCTTGATGCTCCAAAAATTAGAATTCCTATAAGATTAAATGCCTCATCAAAGTATAACAGTCATTTTCGTTTGGATTTTGGTCATTTTACATTGAGGAAAGAGGTATATTTTAATTAATCTTTGGGATATTTTTTGTTCCATCATTGATTTCTGATTCGGTGACCAATAAACTAATCCATTAGTATAATATATAAATGAAAATATAATTTTATTGAAGTATTTTGGTTGCAAACTTTACATATGAATTACATGTGATTCACATGTAATTTACATATGATTCACATGTAAATCACAAGTGAATCGCATATGAATTACATGTGATTCACATGTAATTTATATGTGATGTAAATCACAAGTGAATCACATATGAATTACATGTGATTCACATGTAAATAACATGTAATTCACATATGATTCACATGTGATTCATATTTTAATCACAAGTAATTCACATATGATTCACATGTAAATATGAATTACATGTGATTTACGTGTAAATCACAAGTGAATTACATATGAATTACATGTGATTCACATGTAAATAACATGTAATTCACATATGAATTACATGTGATTCACATGTAATTCACATATGATTAATTTGTGATTCACATGTAAATTACAAGTGAATTACCTATGAATTACATGTGATTCACAAGTTAATCACATATGAATTATATGTGATTCACATGTAAATCACATGTAATTCACATATTAATCACATGTAATTCACATGTAAATCACAAGTGAATCACATATCAATTACATGTGATTCACATGTAAATCACAAGTGAATCACATATGAATTACGTCTATATGCACACATGCATTTTGTGTAAGTGTTCTTCGTTAATTATTTTTTAAAATTTTCTTGTGAATTTCACATTTAAATCTTAAAAGATACAATAACATGTAAATATCACATTATATAATCACATGTGAATCTTACATGATATATACATGTGCGTGTTCTTGCATTAATCATTTTTTTTATTTTCCTGTAGATTTTGAAGAATATTTTGAAAATATTAAAGAGGTGAAAAGTGATAAATTGAAGAAAATATGGAAATCTTGATATGAAGAAATGATAACAATGTGAATCTTTATAGTTTTTTTTATATTTTATTTTGTATCGAATAAAATACTTGTATTATGTTTATAGATTGATTAATAAAAATGAGATTTTTTTATAATTTACTTACGAATATTATAGTATAAGAAATATGCATATATATGCATTTGAAAATATATGCATATATGCATCTAAAACGTTGATTTTTTTGTTAAAAAATGCAGTTTTGAAAAAAATTGCACTTTTTAATAAAAATTGCAGTTTCTTTTTTTTTTTTTTGAAAAAAATGCAGTTTTTCTGAAAAAAAAAATGCAGCTTTTTGAAAAAAAAATACAGTTTGTTTTTAGAAAAAATGCAGTTTTTTTTTTGAAAAAAAATGCAGTTTTTTTTTTGAAAAAAAATGCAGTTTTTTTTTTGAAAAAAAATGCAGCTTTTTTTTGAAAAAAAGATGCAGTTTTTTAAAAAATATATTTTTTTCATTTTTTTTGAAAAATTCATGTTTTTTGAAAAAAAATTAAAAAATCTCCATTTTTTAAAAAAATCAAAAATTATTATTTTTTTTAAAAATAAATCCGAAATTTTGAGTTATTTTGTTAATTTTTAGACATTTATATTAATATATTAAATAACACAAAAAAATTAAACATTAAATGAGATTGGTAAGATGACGATGATGTCCTTAACGAATTACTTTGGATCCAACGGTCCACTTTTAGTTCTCAGGAAACTTTGAGTTCTCAACCGATCTCAACCATATATATATATATATATATATATATATATATATATATATATATATATATATATATATATATATATATATATATATATATATATATTAAACAATAGCATATTTTGTAGAAGGTTTTCTGTTACATGTTTTTTAGTTTTATAAAGTAACTTATTGATGGTTGTTACTACAAAAAAAAACAAAAAAACAAAAAACAAAAAAACAAAGGAAAAACAAATCTTTACACATACGTTGTTTGTCTTTATTTTTCCACTTGGGTGTATTTTGTGCTAGAGTTGCACAAAGTGAGCCGGTTTTTTGAGAACGGATAAAAAAACCGGACCGTTTTTTCTAAGAAGCGGTAAGGTTAAACAGAACCACCGGTTTAGAATAGGTTTTAGGGTAACTTATACGAATCATCAATCGTGCATGTGTCAAAAGACATATTTAGTCCATATTTTCAAAAATTAACTCAGATAGTTTCTCGTTTGTTTTAAACTTGCATACTTCATCCATTTTGACATTAAATGACTATTTTGCCCTTAATAATTTCTTTTTCCATTGTCTTTTTTTATTTATTTATTTGTTTTAAATTCCCCCATTCCAATTCTCAGCTCCTTCTACCTACATTCGTCTCCATCTTTCTCATCGTCCCTTCACTAATGCCGGTGAAAACCCCAATACAATTGGACCAGATCATCAAGCTGTATGAAATCAAGCCGATGCCAAAAAACCATCAAGCTTGAAAGCAAATGAAATCATCTTAATTTTCTAAAATCTGAAACCCAAACAAACCAAAACGGTGGAGGTTTGCCGGCGATTCATGCCCTAGATTGTTGAAGCAAATGAAATCAGACATGAAATCCCTCGATTAGTGACCTAGATTGTTGAACTTTAGTATACATCACAACTTCGAAGATGATGACTGAGACGAATGATGGAGGTTTGTTCTTGAGAGGAATGTACATCGTCTTTTTCACCCCAACAACATGTATCACCCAGTTCCACGTAAGCATCATTGTGGAATTCCTGATTTAAATTCTTAAGTTTAAAACCTGCTATGACATGAGCCCAGTTTAAACCCAGTTCAGGTAAGCATCATGGGGTCCGATGTACCATCTACACGGATCACAAGAGTCTGAGGTACCTCATGGGTTAGCCGAATCTGATGTGGCAATGTAGATGGCTTGACATGGTCAAGGATTATGACTGTGATATTCTTTATCACCCAGGGAAGGCTAATGTGGTTGCCAACGCTTTGAGCCGCAAGGTAGCTAGTACTCCAGCTCAAGGACACCGTTTAAGGATGACCATTACCTCCCCCACTACTGGATTTGATCAGGAAGGCTCGGGTCGAGGGGGTCAATAAGGAAAATTAGAAGAAGGAGAGGATCAGGATGAGATTGACGGGTTTTCTACCGATATTCGCGGGCTTTTGACCCAGTGTGGTCAGGTTTGGGTGCCATTTTCTGGCAAAGTCCGACATATAGTAATGGAGGAGGCTCATAAGTCTAGGTTCTCGATTCACCCTGGAGCCACCAAGATGTATCGGGACATGAGACTTAGTTATTGATGGCCATGCATGAAGCGGGAGATAGCATGGTACGCGGAGATATGCTTGACCTATCGGATGGTCAAGACTGAGCACCAGAGGCTGCATGGCAAGTTACAGCCCTTGGAGGTTCCCATGTGGAAGTATGAAGAGATCACTATGGATTTCATCACCAAGCTGTCGAGAATGGCCAAGGGATTTGACGTGATTTGGGTCATTGTCGATCGATTGACCAAGAGTGCCCACTTTCTTTCCATTCGGGAGAGTTCTTCGGCCGAGAAATTGGCCGATGTATATGTGTGCAAGATCGTTGTTCGCCATGGGGTGCCGGTTTCTATCGTCTCCTACCGTGATGTACGATTTACTTCTCGGTTTTGGCAAAAGTTTCACGAGGAGCTGGGTACTAGACTGCTTTTCAGCACGACTTGTCTGTTGGGTTTTAGTATACTACAACATCCTATGGTTCACATACAACCCTAAATGCTTTGGATCTATGTTTTCTCTAATTATACATGCAATATTGTTTCCAAAGCATTAAGCCTAAAACTAGCATACAATTGACATAAACAACATAAAATACTAGTTAGGAGCTTACCTCTTTATGTAGCTTGTAGAACTTGTTGTATTTGACCTTTAAGAACTTAGCACCCCAAGTGTGATGCCTCAAACGGTGCACAACACACCTAGGACAAAGGAGAACTTGAGAGAGATGTTTCTAGCTCCAAAATCGGCTCTAATGAACTCCAAGAACTCTAGTGGCCGATTTTGGGTGCTAAGGGAGTCCTTTTATAGTGTGGCAAAGTCTAGGGTTACATCCATACAAACCCTAATGCCCATGACCTCTCATATTACTTAGGCTCCATGGGTTAAACCTCCATGGACTATCCATGGACTACCATATTGGTTTAGCCCATCGTAAATAACAATTGGCCTACACTATACAATCATTGATTTACCAAATCAATCCCCATATATTTAATTAGTCTCTTTTGATCACACAATTAATTCCAAATTAATTCTTGATCAATACTAATTAAATAATATGATTTCATATTAATTTAGTAGAACTTATAATATATTAATAAATCATAAGTAACCTCTTACTCAAGTATCCATCCTATCAAATTATCCTGGTGATATGCAACCCGAAATGGACCATGCTACTCTCGGGTCAAGTACATACCAATTATAGTTATGGGCTTAGACACCTAATCCAACAGTCTCCCACTTTGAGAAGTCTAATAACTATTATTGCAAGTACGACTCCAAAATCCCGACTAGCAATTGTAGCTCTTAAAAGCCGCTGACGAACTCTGACCTGGTCAATGACGTGTCCATTAGATAAGGGATCATATATTCCTTCATTCTAGATATTATATGAACATGATACATGGATTATAATCATTCTCTCTGTCCATCTATTGTTTCCCGATTTCCGATTTATGACGACCGACTAATTGAACAAATCAAATCAGTCCAGGCTTGGCCAAGCACTTAGGGTTGTCATCACTAAATCATCGAGGGGCCCACATATATCGCTTTTATCCCTCTAAGGGTAAAAGTAATGGATAAACTTCGAATCATATGCTTGCTTGTACTTACTCATCAAATTACACACAACAATATGTTTTATAACACCAAGTTACTAGTGCGTTTACATATGTCAATGTGCAACCGACTTGTAAATTACAGCTCAAATGTCTTGGTTTCAAGAATATAAGATATTATCGTCTCACAACCACTCGTGATAAAATACATGAAGTGATTCAAAATGAGCGTGGGTTGAATCCAATACTCAAATCTTATTATACGAGTACTCATGAATACTATAGCAAACTTGTGTTATGTCTAACACCTTAGACAATCTTACAGACCCATTCATGACATTCTTGCCTCAATACCTACTTCCAAAGTATGATCGACTGTGGATAGTTTGAATAATCTTATTATTCGCGAAGTCAAAACATGCAAAATGAAACACAAGAATAATCGAATCCAATATGGTCTGAGAACTTATGAATATAAATAAAACACCTTTTATTTAATCACCATATTGATTACACATTATTCATTGTATAATGTTTCGATTTATCAACTTAATACTTGAATTAAAACAATAGTTATCCCATACTCCAAGCATGTACACTATGTTTATCTATGGTCCTTGCTTTGTGAAATAGATCAATCGAAAATATTTCAATGAAACTCATTTCACAATTCCAAATCTTTACCGTAAATGTACGAATACCAATTCTTGCCATTTACTGTAATCTGTTAGATCCTAAACATATATACAATGATCCTCTTGTAATGACTATGCAAAAAAGTCACAGAGACTTGGCAACAGGCATTACAAAGTATTCCAATGGAGAGCAATTCCATGGAAACGAAGTGTCACATTCAAAGTACACTCCTTTGAACATCCTTCTTGCATTAAGCTTTCTAATCTTACACATATTTAATGAATAACTTTTACCTATGGAAACATTTCCATATTCCCATTTTGACTATCACTTATGAACAAGAGTTGCCTTTTTTCAGAATATGTCAATATGGTCTGTCCAAAATTTACACTATACTTCCAACTGTTCATGAGCAATTAATCTTTGGTAAACCTCAGATTGTCCTCGACAATTGCTTAATCATTTTAGTCATATCCAGTTCTAGTCCTTTTCCCTCTTAATGCCCTAGGCATTTGGAAAAATGGAACACTTAAATATTATAGCATATGCAATCGATCCTATACCCGAAGCATATGGGATATAATTCATTATGTCTCAGATAAAGATGTGATACTTTACCAGTCTCTTGCTACAATATTTCCAAATATAGAATTTCCTTATGTTGAACCATTTCAACATAACATCCATATATGTTCTTGACTAAATTTGATTAAAATCTCAATCTAAGCTTTTAGATTTGAAATGAAGTATGAATTTCTCTCCCTTAATTATAGCAAAACAACTTTTCAAATCCTGTAACTGTGCAATTTGAAACTTTTATTTTTTATAATTAACATTGCTAAGTTGCAACACTTACCATAATAATTACGCTCCCACTAGCATAATAATTATATTCTTATTTGCATAACACTTATGCTCTCACTAGCTTTAACATGTACCCAGAAATCAGCCGGACCTCTAGAAATCAATACTTATTGACTTTCATTACCAAAGTTTAGATTTCTGATACGAGATGCTTCGATGAGACTTTATCTAGGCTTCTCAAACTCATACACATTTCCTTAGACAGCTCACATGTTTGTCTAAACAATTTTAGAACTTACAACAATAAGTCTCAAATGTTTAGACCTTTGCCATTTCTCACAATTCGAACTATGAAGAAGGATACCGTAATCATAATCGAATTTGAGAATGCAAGTACCACAATTGCTATCTCCTTAGAATCTACTTAGTGAAAGCGTTTCCTCACAATCATTTTCATGAAGCGAAGAGAAACCTTATGCCACTTAGATTTTATGGTGTATGTGTTCCTATCCATGTGAATTTTTCAAACCATAATCATAAGACAAGATCCGTGACAAATCCAAACCCATATGGACTGAACTTGTTCAATCTTAATTTCCTGCCACTTGGTAGCACAAGGGCCTACCATGTCTTCCAAGTTGTTAAGCAGCTCACCCATACTGATCAATGAAACTTTCATTGATCCAGGTACTTTGCCTTATGCAAACAATTGAGAACTCATAGAACTCACATGCATATTCAACTTTAACTGGAATGGGCACAAAAACAAGAATATGTCAACACGATAGGTTGCAAACCTCAAGTCGTGTGCTAGTGATAAACAATAGGTTTTATTCTTGATTAGTTCTTGAAACTATCCAGGACCATTAAGGCTCCCACTGACCTTTTGACATATAAGATTCTCTGTTAAGAACTATTCATTGACAAACAAATATTTAAGAGTTAGTGCGGATTCTTATCAAGAATGACACTTCATATAATTGGTCTTATTTGGTCTTTGTTTTATCCAAAACATCACAACCACCAATTTGAAATATGCAAGAGTTAGAAAACATTCCTATCCCATATTTCATTATGTGTTATAAACCTACTTAAGATATGTCACTCAAGGCATAATCTTGGAGTATGACTCTAAGGCTTGATTTTGGAATGAAGTATGATTTACCTTAATTGATTTACCCATTTCAACAATTCCCAATTCCTCTTC